TCAAATACTCAATGAAAGAGCAGAATATAAACTAATGTGAACAATCATATTGCACAAAATAAAAAAACATGTGGGAATGTGGGCAAGAACTAGAAGTACCAGTTAACACTGGAGCGGTGGAGATATGGGATGATTTTTTTAAAAATCTTTTCTTAGGACCTCTAGTCCAAATTACTGGGAAAAGGGCATTATTTGTCAGATAAGTCATACCCTAGTTTCAGGAACTATGGGTTGCAAACAAAGGACCTGTTAATTATTTTATTCAACACTTTATTCACCAAATGTTTCCTGGGTCTACTATGTGCCAGCTGTAGAATAGCCCTACTAGACACTGAGATTATAGCAGTGAGCAGTTTACACTAGGCCTCTGGCCACATGGGGTTTTGGTCATTCCTGCATTTGTTGCTACAATAGTCAAAGTATTAATCTAATGGTCTGAATTGCTAATTAGGAATGATTTCATGGGAAAGTAAGGGGGAGCAAGGTAAGAAAAATCATAAAATACGTTACACTTTAATCTCCAACCTCATCAGGGTTAACGTAATGATAGTAATTATAAAAATAGCAGTGACACCATTTACTAAGCAGCTACTAAGTGTCAGTCTCCATTCTGAGTACTGAATTTTTATTTTCAAATTTAATCATCAAATCAGTCCCGAGAGGTGGGTAGTGTTATCATTACCCACAAGTAAGGCTAAAGGAGGCTAAGTAACCTGCCCAAGACAACATTCCAGGTCCGAACTCTGGAATACCTTCCCTGCTTCTGACCACTCTACTTCCCTGAGTCATTCCTCCCTATGGAGCCACAGGGAGTGAGCTTCACCTCCCAGATGGCTAGCAAAGTTCTTTTTCTGTGTCCTTCCTGCCCACGAAAGGGTAGTTGATGAAATTGAATGAAATGAAATTGCTTCCTTTTTAAAAATTTTTGCTTTTAGATTTTTATTTATTTTTTATTGACAAATAGAAAATGTATGTATTTATAGTGTACAATGTGATGTTTTGAAATAAGTATACATATGGCTAAATTGAGCTAATACGTGCATTACCTCACATACTTATTTTTTGTGCTGAGAACGCTGTAAATCTACTCTTTGTGATTTTCAAGCATCCATACATTGTTTATTAACTATAATCACCATGTTTTACAATAGATCCATTGAATTTATTCCTCCCATCTATTTGAAACACTTTGACCGACATCGTCTGCCCCCTGCCTCACCCCCAGTAGCCACCGCTGTACCCATTTTTGACTGGAGTGGAGAATAGACTGGTAGGACAGCTCTTATTTTTCTCTTTCATTCTCACCCACGTGTTTCATGCTTTCTGCACAGTGAGGCCCCTAACAGCTCTTAAAGCAGATTTGGAAACATGTTGAATGGGTCCCCTCGAGTTAGAGATGACAGCATTAACCTGGATGTGTCATTTGAGACTAATGCATGTGCTGTAGGGAATAAAAGCCTTGTATGTGAAAGAAATCACTCAGCCAAGAGTGAGGGGGCTCCTCCGTCTGTGCTGCTCAGAGCGGTTCATATTTTAGGGACACCAAAGGCAAAGAGGGAACTAGGAAAAAAAAACGCGGGTAATTTAGAGCCTCTGTCCCTCTGTTGATGAGCAAGTTGACTAGTAAAAATTTCATACTAATAAACGTTGAAGATTTTAAAAATGTAAGAAGTACTTCAGCTCAGAAAGCCTTTTTTACAAATCCATTTGAAGAAAATAGAGATTCCAATGATTGATTCTCCTAATATTAAAAAATAATAAAAAGAGTTTTGATGTATTTCCTCTTTAGCAAATTAGTAACAGCCGTTTT